AATGTTGTGGTTATGCTTGCTTTGACTCGGTTCAATGTTGAACCATAACGTTTGTGGGTTGGCACACAAGTGTATAATATGTATAATATAAGTTTTAAGAGAAGGCCAGATTTAAATTTGATTTGGGCTCACTCTATTTCGTTTAAGGTGATTAAGGGCTAGTAGTTGAAATTTTTCCACTATGATATGAGTAGAGCTGATACTTCTCATTAAATTTCACTTAGCCTTGCTTTCCAAAAAGGTGTTCTCATCCAAGATGGACTGCAATTACAACCTTGCATAGGTCTTATGAACGCCACAAGCGGAAGTGGAATCATGATATTGCAGCGTGTAATCTCGACATGTTTACCACCACGCTACATTGCCACGAGTTCACTTGGGTTACAGGGCACATGCGAATTTCAAGGAATGACAGGCATTTTCCATATAGCAGTCGACGAAAAATATAAGTTTACTTCATTAACAACCCCAACACAGAATGTGATATGGAAAAATGCCTGACATTTTTCGAAATTCTTATCTTTGCTGTGACCCAAGGGCACTCGTAGCAATGCTGCGTAATAGTTAACGTGTTGATCTTACATACTGCATTGTCATGATTCCACTCTCGCTTAGGCCGTTTATAAGACACATGCGAGTTCGAAACTGCAGTCCATCCCGGATGAAAACACTCTTTGGGAATGCAAGGCCACGTGAACTTCAATGGAAAGCATCAGCTCTACTCATTTCCTAGTGAGAAAATTGAAATACCAGACTTTAATTATCTTAATGAAATAGGGTGGACCCAACTCATATATCTGATTTACTGGTACTCTCGAAAACCTACTCACTCAGAAAAAAAGGTGCTTATTTATCTTCAAGTTTTTTTATAAATTCGTCAAGAGTACCCTAACTTATAAGCTATTCAGTAATGAGAGACTAAATTTATCTTTATAGAAGTTGTTTGCCCCTGTTTTTGCAACGTGGTCATATTGGTAGGAAGACCTAGAGAAACGCACCTAGTCCGGAGTCCATAGTATACATGATAATTTCCAGAGTCGGACCGTGGACGTTATCATTTCCCAGACGTTTCGCCGGCTTCGTCACTGAGCGAAAATAAGGTCAAACAACTTTATACAGCGAAAGGAAACTTCAATTATACAAAAGACCACACCATATTGGTCTTCATACCTTCGATTAAGTTCATTTCTGGATTTTGGTAATCTGGCACATAAGGAATTTGATTACTCTTCATTAAGCCCCCTAAAAGGTCGCATCTCTGGAGCATATCATAATAGCTAAGGTGTAGATCGTGATTGAGAACGAATGAAGGATTAAACTTATGTATGGAAAAAGTAAGCGCACCGCGACAGTGAGATCACAGATACAATAGTTATTTGATTGAAATTGGATCAAGAGCCGGACTTAAATTGCCTATTTGGCAGGTTATTGCTTGGTGCTAATTTTGCTGACTATATCCAATATGAGGCCGGATATACGTCTGAGGATGCTTGCAGGCATCGGTTAAATGCTGAATAAATCACTAGTATCGTGGAATACGGAGTACGGTGAACGTTCTTGGTAATTTTAATGACACCACGTTCAAGTTTCCTAATCGAGTTCATACCAATTATATACTAGATTGCTCCGCTCCTGTGTGCTTTATAACTGAACATTATGCGCAAACTATACAGGGATCTCTTCATCACAGAGGCTTTGACAGCCAAGTCTCCGTTTAAGTTCAACTTGATTAGTGACCTTTTTTAGGAGAAAATCTTCTGGTTTACCAAAAATTCGGATCATTTAGTGATTGCCTGAAATATGTCATGAGATCATTTAAAGAGAGGATAAATACGGATAAGACAAATTCTACATTTTGTGAAAAAACCTTAATACACATATATGGAAGCTCGCAGCAAAATGTATAGATTTATTATATCTTCTTAGAACGATTAACGAAACAATGTATATTCGGCGAGAAGTAAAGTAAATGTTAGAGTATGTTTCATTTCGTCTGAAGAGGCAAGTGAAAGATAATCGCAAGTTGGTTCTACCGGAGGCTGTGGGGGGGTTGTCTTGGAGTTGTGGTTGTAGATTGTTGCGAATAGGTCCTCGGCGCATTGCCCTGCGACCCCGGTAAAGCCTTGATGAGCTTTTGTCCTTCATGTGACGAAGATCGTTAGAGCAGAACACCATGGTTAGCGATAATTCACCAAAAACACGAAAGCAAAAAAGGTTGCCGGCTTCAACCTAGTTCCTTATATTCCAATTGGGTCCACTTATGTATCTCATGTTTTGGTTGGATGTCCTATGCCTTGCCTATATATTTGCTTATAAGTTAAGTTATGGGGTTGTGGATGACATGCGAAATGGCTACAGATGAAGCGTGAAATGGGTGTAATTGAAACCGAACAGCTGCATTGTCCCCTAAAGCACTTATGTCTATAATCCTGCAATGTTGCCGCATGTGATTGCGTTCTATTGCACACGTGTTGTCTTACTGCATTGCTCTTTAAATTAGTGTGATATAGGAGTCAAAACTAGATTCCAGTCTAATCGAGTCTTCTCCTCATGCTTGGTGATATTTTTCGTTCCCCCCTCTCTCTCTAAACCTATCCAACACTGTAGAAGTTTCCGCTTAACTTTTTGCATTCATTCCCTCTATTCAGGGTGTTGGCTGTTTTGTTTATTTCTATCGCCTCCCTAATCTTTCGCTTACTGATAGTCTCCATATCCAGCTAAGCGTTTGCATTAGACAAATGTTTCTGGTGTCCTGTGCGAGCTATATGTTCGGCCAATTCCGATTTTCAGACCCTTGCAGGTTGTTTTGTGTTAGGATAATCTCTTATGTATGGGCCTATAAGTCTCCCAACATAGGCAATACCACATGAACACAAAGTGTTGTAACAGCCAGATCTGGAGAGCTTGTCAGAGTATTCTTAAAAAGTAAGCAAATACCAAGGACAGGGTTATTTTCTCTTTATAAATCGTCCTGATGCCCCACCTTCTCAGTAATTCACTTATATTCTTGTATAGATTATACGATTTCAACATAAGGATCCTGGTATAGTGATCTATCTTCTTATATAGCACAAATATCTATTTCTCTTCATTATATTTGACAATATTCTAAAATCGCTGTCAACCAGCCCTCCTGGATAACTATTTTCAATCAGAATTCTCCTTAGTCTCCTCAGTTCTTGATCCTAATATTTAACATCTGCCAGACGCAGGCTCCTTATTATAATAGACTTTATTACTCGTACTTTAACCCCATAAGTGGGATTGGGGAAGAAATTCAGAAGGAAACCTGCATTTGTGAGCTTCCTATACACATCTCTAC